TATAATATAAAATATTAAATAATATAATGCTGGTCAGCGTTTAAAAAAAAAAAAAAATCCAAAATTTGGGAGTTTTTAATATAATAATGCTATCCCTACAAACCATTTCAACTCTATATTTTTTTTATAAAATGTCAATGATTTGGCTATATATATATAATCAGTGGCAGACCCAGGATTTTTGCCAGGGGGCCTCTACAACTCTGCCATTATTTGCCAATCAATTAGTGAAAACATTTTAAAAAATCAGTAAACCTTGAACAAAGGAAATAATACAATATCAAGAAGCTGAAATGAAAGAATGCAATAATATCCAATTCACAAGAAAACACTAAAAAATTTTTACGTGGAAAAACATCTTCAATGTGAGGAGAGCAAAAAACCCTAAACCCTATGTCTTGACCTAATTTACTTTCAATTCAAATCTTTCTCATACCAATTAATGTTATTACCTCTCTTCTTATGGTCAGATAGAAAACCCTTTAGCCACTGGGGTTAGCTATATCTAGGGGGTCTTGTATTCGAGTCGCATGAGAGGTATCTACTACATTGTGTAATTACCTTGGTTCATTGGGCTTGTAGAGTGTTTCGTGACCCTGAGAATTAAGCATGCTCCAATGTGGGCCTAAATATCTCACATACCTAAAAAAAAAAAAAAAAAAAAAAAAAAAAATTTGATGTTATTGATGTCTTATGGAAATTTGTGATGAAATTGGAAGGGAAGAAGTAAGGGCCGAATGGAAAAATGAGTTGAGTTATATGCACTTTTAAAGTAATTTTTTATATGATTAAGTTCTTCAAAAAATTAAATAGTAAACAATTATGTTTGCCCTTAACACTAGATTGTCATGGTTAAAGTTCAATGAATGATTCAAATTGAATTATAATATGATTTTTTTTTTAATTATGTCATGTCATTATCATTAGTTAGAGGATAAATTTGTGAAAAGAGTATAACATAAACATTCGAAATCTATTAAAATTAAAATCATTGAAAGATAATGATAATTATTAAGTAGATTATTAGTTTATAATTATATAAATTTTTAATTTTTATTGCTATTAAAAAGAGGTGTAAGTTACAGCATTGAATCTCTTATTAGTAGAGAGAATTGGCGTATGTTAAGTAATTAATTAGGTAGAGGGATGAAAGACAAAAAGATAAGTACAAATGAAATGATAGTGAGGTCAGGTCATAGACTTAAAAATCATAATTACAGTGATTTGTGTGGTATGTTATATGGACTAAATTAAAGGAAAGGAAGAGGGCAAAAATGTCAAATTAATAAAGACAGGTAAAATCCCAAAGGATAAAGAGAGATTCTAGGGAAGACTTTTCCATAGAAAAAATTGGTTTTTTTTTTTTTTTAATTTGAGGCCTACCCTCAAAGGGCCTGGTCCACTCCTATCATTAATTGGTGTTGATAAATCAACTATCACATTACTTAAATTATACAATTGATATACCTTGTTTGAAAGTGTAGTCTTACATTTTCAATATGTTCTTTTAGAGCTTATTTCATGAATAGGGGTTAGCATTAGTAGTGGGTAAAACCAGAATCAGAACCAGAACCGAAATCAAACTGAAACCGACATTGTGCGGGTAGGTTTTAGTTCCAATTTTTTTAGAACCAAAATGATTCTAGTTCCTACATGTGCAGGAATTGGAATCGGAACCAAAATCAGAACCTAGGATGGGAACCAATGGTGGGTACCCGGGATGGAAATTAATTATAATATTACATTATAGTATGACAACTCATGCCTCATGAGTCATGGTATATTAAGAAAAGTAAGTGTTTAATTAAAGATTCATAAAACATATTAATATTAATATTTAATTTTATTCTTTTGTCACAAATTCACAATTAATGTTAATTTAACTTATGGACAAATTCAAAAACTTCATTTTCACTCTAGTAATTATCATATTATATAAATTATCTTTATCTATTAATAAGTAATTAAGTATGAACCAAAGTTCAACAAGGGGGGCGTTTGGTTAAGGGAATGTTGGAATACTGAAAAGTTAGATTACCTTAAAGATTATTGGGAATCTTTAGGAAAATGTATTTGGTTAATTGGTGGGTATGTTATATTAATATGTTTGGTTGGGAGGAATAAATTTGTGGGTATGTTATATTAATATGTTTGGTTGGGAGGAATAAATTGGTGGGTATGTTATTTAAATTACTGAATTGTCCTCTAGTTAAATATTATTATTATTTGGAGTATTATAACCCCCTACATTTAAAAACTTAGCAAAAACAACCCTATAATAAAAGTTTGGAAAATCAACAAAGCACCCCCACCAACCCAGCCACTGCCGACAACCTAATAACACACGGAAGGCAGGAAATAGCCTCTGTGTGTCGTATGGCCATTTCTGGCCAGAGATCTAGCCAGAAATGGCCAAACGTGATGGATCTAGCTGTTGATAGCCAGATTTGGCACAATCTGGCCATTTTTGGCCAGATATCTGGCCGAAAATGACCATATAAGCGCACGACGGCCATTTTCAACCTTTCGTGGGCCGTTTCGGCCGCGGCGACGGTTGCCAGCGGCAGGTGGGTGGGGGTGGTGGCTTGGGTGGGCTACAATTTGTTTTGAATTCAAGGGTAATTTTGTTCAAAAAGTTAATTAATTGGGGTGAAATAGTAAAAGCCATATCCATGTAATAAGGGCATTATTGTCCTAAATTTTTATTAATAAGGGATAGAATTGTAACAAAAAAAGACTACCCTGGTAATCTTAGAATACCTAAGAAAATTGAGGTAATCAGATTACCTTCAATATTACCAATAGTAACCACTATTGGTATTTAAAGATTACCGATATCTTATATTGCTTGACAATCAAACATGGTAATAAAGTAATATAAGATGACTTAACCCTAATAATCTCACATAACCTCCAACCAAACGCCCCTAGTCGTTAATGTATTAAATTACAAAAATCAAAACCACCTACTAATTGTGTATGAAACTTTTCCAAAATAATTTAACTATTAGTAAATAATATTTTATTTCTCTATTAAAAAAGGATATAATAACGTTAAAGTTTTGAAGGCATGTGATTAAAATTTAAGAGGATTAAAACAGATTAGATTCATTAATTATTTGATTAATTAAGTGTATAATTGGAATTATGATCCAATTAAAATGTTATTAAGAGAATTATTTTTGAATAAAATAGTATATTTGATTGAATAATATTTAGTTATTTACTTCAATTAACAAGTTCTAAGTATATCTATAGTAAATTAGTAATTAATTAATTATATATGATAAATTGATAAACATTAATACATTACTTAATTAAATGATTAGAAATTTAATTAATTATAACATTATATTATAGTATGATAACTCATGCCTCATGAGTCATGGTGTATTAAGAAATCATAAAAAAAACTAAGAGTTAAGTTCATACTAATTATTTAATTAAAGATTCATAAATAATATTAATATTAATATTTTATTTTATTCTTTTGTCATAAATTCACAATTAATGTTAATTTAACTTATGGGCAAATTCAAAAACTTCATTTTCACTCTAGTAATTATAATATTATATAAATTATTTTTATCTATTCATTGGTAATTAAGAAAGAATCAAAGTTCAACGAGTATCAAAGATAAATGATTGGCCGTTAATTTATTAAAATACAAAAATCAGAACCACTTACTAATTGTGTATGAAACTTTTTCCGAAATAATTTAATTGTTAGTAATTATATTTTATTTCTCTATTAAAAAAAAGATATTATAATGTTACACTTTTGAGAGCATGTGATAAATTTAAGAGAATTAAAATAGATTAGATTCATTAATTATTTAATTAATTAAGGGTATAATTGGAATTATGATCCAATTAAAAGTATTTTAATGTTATTAGAAGAATTAAAAAAAAAAAAAAAAAGATATTACATGTGCTTACTTGTTTGCTTTAGTTGTTCTCTCATTCTTCTTTTTCTTATTTCAATAATCGTTTGTGTTTTGATTTTGATTGAGAAATTTTGTGTGAATTATGATGAACTGATTGAATTCGAGTGTTGCCTAAAGAACATTGGATACAAATAAATGTGTAATGAAAGCTGAAAGCTAATAAATGCAGGTTTTCTAAATTTGTCAGGGGTGTATTAATAAAATTTTAAGGTGTGTGTGTCATTTTTTAAACTAATAAGGGGGTAATTAATTTCTTACAAGATTCCTGTGTTAGGAACCGAAACCTGCATTTCAGGTTCCGGTTCCGAGAATCAAAGAATCGGAATTGGTCAATTCTGGTTCCAGTTCCTTTTCAAAGGAACCGACCGATTCTGGTTCTCCCAAAAATCGCAGGGTACCCGAAACAACTTACCCCTACTCATGAATGTGAAAAACCTTCCCCATTTATTTTGAAAATTGTAATTTATTATTTCGCTATATTAACTGATTTTAGTAATTCACAAGAGTTAGTTGTCCCCCAAAGGTTTAATTTAATAACAAAAACCTTCTTGAGGTTTCTAAATAATATAAATTTTCCTACCATCAGTGAATTGCTAGAACTTATAGTATTATAAGTTAATGAATATTTACCAAGTTTCCCTCCTATCATTTATGTTCTTTTTATATCAAAAAATATTTCCATATATAACCATCTTTAATAATCTTAATTTCCAAAATGTCAAGGTTTAGTTTAAAGTACAAATTTAACCATAAAATTACACAACTTAACTTAGTAGCCCATAAAAATAACAAAGGTGAAAATAGCCTAAATACATTAGACTACCAAATTTAGCATCAATTAGCATGGTCTATTTAAAGTACAAATTTAACCATAAAATTACACAACTTAACTTAATAGCCCATAAAAATAACAAAGGTGAAAATAACCTAAATACGTTAGACTACCAAATTTAGCATCAATTAGCATGATCTAGCATGTTTTAATTAAATTGTTAAATCATTTAATTAAATGCTAAACTACATCGAAACTATCTAGTCTAGCATAATCTATCCTTATATATTAAGAATATATCATTTGTTATTTCATTAAAAATATAATTGGTAAGTAGAATTTTACAACTAGATTTGTCCTTTAAATAAATCCTATACATTTTGGGGGAAATGATTATTAAGTTGTGTATATATGTCCAAACCCCTTTTATCAAACACTTTTAGGCCTCAGCTCAATTCCTTCTATAATCAGGCCATGTTTACTGCTGAAACCATCAAAATCAAACAAATTATACACCACGCCTTCATTTTCTCCATGCTTTTTAAAGAATTCACCGATCTCAATCTCCATCCACCCGTCTCCTCGATCTTGAGATAGGTTGGGCGCACCCGCCCGAGCGTCAAGAAACACCTTACTTCTTTCTTCCTCCTCCATTCCTCCAACGTAGAAACATAACTCTACAGGTCTGGTGTCAAATCCATTTCTGGAGTCAGCAAACTTGAACACAAGGTAAGCTGCATAGGTGGTTTCAGGGGACAAAAGTTTGGTCTCTATTTTTCCCTTAACTTCGAACCAACAAACAGGCTTTAATTCAGCCACTTCAGGAAACCTTAAATGAAAAGATACTAATTGCTATTAGAATTACTGAAGAACTAATCATAGGGAGGCAAAAAAGGTTATGAATTTTAAGGACAAGGGACAGAAGAACAAACCTGGATTCTGGTAGAGATGGCCATGTCCAATAGGATTTACTTCCCCATGTGACAGAGATCCCTGCTTTTGCCCCAACCATGCAACAAACTTTTCCACTCTCTTTCTCTAGTGCAAAGCTCTATGTCAAAGAATCACACACGTTTAAGTATACATCAGAAACTAATAAAATAAAATAAAACAAAAAAACCGAAAAAAGAGATATGGATTGAATTCGATATTTTGAAGCAGGGGAAGTTGGCTCACAACATATCCTTAAGATGCAGGGGAAGAATCATTTTATTCAACACTTATAAACCATTTATGAACAAACCAATCCAAATTTCAATTAACCAAAAGGGCATATAAACACAGAAACAGAAATCATAGCCTTCCCTAAATGTAATCGCTTAAGTTAATTATAAAATGTCATTTTGCTTACCATATTGCCACTGTTGATGAAGATGGGTTTATGGGAAAGATGACAGTAAAGTTCCTTCTTGGACGAGCAAGTACTCAACAGAGACGATGAGGCTGAATTGGAAATGATTCCCTCGTAATCTGATGGCAGAAACGTCTCCCAGACGGCATCAGAATCAGCAGCAGATTTGAAGAAAGGAGACACGGCTGATAATCTGCATGCATCTCTGGGAGATGTAAGGGATGTGATTTGGGATAAACACTCTTCAGGAAGAACAACACTCATATCCATTTGATTTTTTCTAGCTTTCCCTCTATCCAACTCTTGATTTTATGGTAATGTCTTAGTTACGTATGAGATTGAACAAGACTTTGGTTAGTGAAGGAAGCCTCCAACAAGATGGTATTATATATAAGAAGCCTAATAGTTGACAATTATTGGAAATGTATAAATAATTATCCGATTAGGTTTAAAAAGATTTTATAAAATTGTTGCCCAGAAACATCCTACCGGATGCCACATAATGAGAAAGAACTATAAGCATCTTCAAACTGTATTTTAGCATTTTAAAATACTTTTATCATTTACTTAATATCATGTAAAAATCAGAATTATAGAACATGTCTTCCATAAATTTAATGGCTTAAATCTTAATTTTCCATGTTCATGCTTTAATTTCCAGAGAAAGACTTAATCCATAGTGATGGTCAACTAGTCAAGATCCTGACTCTTAGCTTTCAAATATTAAGAAATACCCCCCCTCAAAGTAACAGCCTCGATTAAATCTTAACTCTGAAACAACATTTTCTTATGCAGAGACAGAAATGCCTCTTAGGGGGCGTTTGTTGACGGTAATGTCAGATTGTTGGGGTAATGTCATCTTATATTACTTGATTACCACGTTTGGTTGTCAAGTAATATAAGATTTCGGTAATCTTCAAATACCAATAGAGGGCGTTTGGTTCAGGAATGTTATATTACTGGGAATGTTGGATTACTGGAAAGATAGATTACCTTGAAATATTACTGGGAATCTTTAAGAAAATGTGTTTGGTTAGTTGGTGGGTATGTTATTTAAATTACTAAATGGTCCCCCTTACAAATATTAATATAATATTATTTTTATTATTAATTTTTGAATAATTTCTTTTAACCCCCAATATTTCAGATTTAGTTTAAACACCCCTGCTTATATAAAACTTTAATTTATTACGAAATCACCCCCACCTCCTGCCGCCGCCTGCTGCCACCGTAGATCACCGCCGGAAGTCTCCGAAAGTCCCTATCAACAACTCACCATGACCAAGAGGCTTCGATATGGCCGTTTCCAGCCATATTGATGGCCGAAAACGGCCATATCAGGCCAGATCTTGCCGGAAATGGCCAGATCTATTCTAGCCATTTCCGGCCAGATCGGTGGATCTGGCCGTTAATGGCCAGATCCTTGGCCATTATCGGCAAGATCTGAGTGAGATCTGCCATTAACGGCCATGGACCTGGCCGTTAGCAGCCAAATCTATTTCGGCCGGAATAGATCTGGCCGTTAGCAGCCAAATCTATTTCGGCTGGAATAGATCTGGCCGTTAACGACCAGATCTCACTCAGATTTGGCCGATAATGGCCAGGGATCTGGCCATTAACCGCCAGATTTGGCCTGATATGGCCGTTTTTGGCCATCAATATGGCCGAAAACGGCCATATCGCTGACTCCTGGAGCCTCCCACTGAAACTCGTTCTTTTTTTGGGACTCCGGTTGGTTTTCGGAGGCGCCATGGTGGTTGGCTGCTGTAGGCGGTGGTGGCTGGGTGGCAGTGGTGGTGGTGGCTGAGTGGCAGTGGTCTGTAAATTGTTTTAAATACAAGGACATTATTGTTCAAAATTTTAGTTAAATAAGGGTAAAATTGAAATAGGATATTAATGTAAATTTATTTTAAAATGAGGGCATTATTGTCCAAAATTTTTATTAATAAGGGATAAAATTGTAACAAAAAAGGATAACCCTGGTAATCTCAAAATACCTAAGAAAATAGAGGTAATCAGATTACCTCCAACATTACCAATAGTGAGGTAACATTAATCTAACTTCACTTAAAAAGCAAGTAAATACAATATACCCAATTTGCCCTTATGTAGATTAACATAAGTTAGAATTAGGGGGGATCTATCCCATTAGTTTAAACTGCAGGGTCTGACATGGTAGATCCAAACACTAGGGGAGCAAAAAAGATTATCTCCCCCAATTAATTTCTCCACAAGTTTGAAAGGTGAACAAAGTGACTTTGGCTTTTTGGACCATCTCACCAATAATTAAAGTTGATGGGGTTATGGCAATGATGAAAATAGCCCCACTCAATTTTTTTCAGCCCAAGTCAGAGAATCTCTTTGATTTTATAACAAATTAGGGTAAATTTAATTTTTGACTATTAATCCTAAAGTTTCAAAAATAGAGGATGACTATTACAATACTCTTAAAAGTTTTAATAAAATTTAACAAGTATCAGCCTTCACCACTTTTTTTTTTTTTATTATTATATATGGGGTGTTCGAGTCAACTTACTTGCATCTCATCTAATCTTTAGAGTCATTAAACATCTTACCAGCCTTAACCTTACTCCATTATAATGTTGTTATTAACTTTTGACTTAAATTCCTAGTTTAATATTCAAACATTGATCTATCAAAATCAGAAAGGTCTAGAAGTGTTGTTGAGTTGTCGACATTAAATATTATGATTATTGGATTAAGATACATGAATAGATTAAAAAGTTTGAAGTCAGAAATTTTAAATTTAAAGATCACCGACTCTATATATATATATATAAAGCTTTGACAACGTCTTGATTAAAATATAATCTAAAATTTTAAGAGATAAGACTTGTTTTGTTCTTATTAAAATACATGAATTGGATATTAATTTTTATTTCCTCTTTTCTTTTTTCATCGTTTGAATAGATAGACCTTCTCGCTTTCACATATTGCTTATTTTGTAAGTAATAACTTATTTTTATTCAATTGTCATATTGACTAACAGGTTGTCACGCATAATGTTGACTAATTTGATTTAAGTACTAAAACATATATTAAGATTGTGAAGAAATTCACCATAACTACCAATTTTTAAGATTTATTTAACTTTATAATTTGCGTACTTGATTGTTCACAGCCTGAAAACTTACTAAACCGTGATAATTGTGTTCTTAAAGTTGCCGTGTTCGAGTCGGTAGCTCAAAAGTCAAATTTTGCAGATGTGAGAAATCAAAATTCTATCAGCTGCTTTCAGTTTGTTGGGATTAAGACCTCATAATCTTTTTTAACTCGAAATAAGCAAACGGTTGGAATAAGTACTTATTTTTCAACTCAGAAATCTGAAAGCTGTTGAAAATTAGTAAGAATTTTGACTAAAAAATGATAAAATACTCTTTAAAATATTTCTGTTGACCTCGTTTCTAGAACTAGATAATTGTCTCCCACTATTTCCGTTGGTGCATGAATCATGAGGGTGTCTAAAGAGCATCCATGAATTGTCAACTCTTACAAAAATTCTAATAAAATACGTTGCTTCATTGACTTAACAAATTCTTGCCTACTCTTAATCTAATCCTAATCCATATGATAAAATAGTTAAAGTTGTAAATTGCATAATTAATTAAAGAGAAGTGAAATGGATATGAGTATTGTTTTGCCTGAAGAGTGCATTTCCCAGATCATCTCCCTTACATCTCCAAGAGATGCATGCAAAGTTTCAGAGGTGTCTCCTGTGTTCAAGTCAGCTGCAGATGCGAGAAGTTACTGCCCACTTGATTACCAGGAGATCCTTTCCAATTTGGTTTCCTCGTCGGAATTATTTCACTGTCCAAGAGGGATCTTTTTTTCCACCTTTGCAAGAACCACATCCTCATCAAAAATGGTACTATGGTAAGTGAATGTCATTTTATTCACCTTTGTAACTTATACACAGAACATTAAGCTTTTGAATTTATAGAACATCAACAAATTAGTACGTTGGGTTATAAAGCTAGAAATCAATGAAAAGTTGCTTAATCAATGCTGCTTTTATTATCAGCTAGAAATCAATTGAGATTGCCATCATATGGTCCTTGACTTATTATCTATTAAAATGCTGGACAAATCGTGACTTAACTACCTTGGTATTACCTTGACTTGTGTGCTATCAATTCACAGAACATCCAATTGATCTACCCATAAACAATATACTATTCATTTGTCCAAATTCGTAAAAAAATAAAATAAAATTTACCCCTTCCCTGGATCATGTACAAAAAAGTTAACTGACTTTGTAATTCTTTGACACAGCTTTGCACTAGACAAAGAGAGTGGAAAAAAATGTTACATGGTTGGCATTAGAGGGCTTTACATTACATGGGGAGGAAGACCTGCTGATGAGATATGGCGAAGTCGACCAGAGTCTAGGTTAATTTCATTTATTGTCAATTATCGAAAATTCTCTAGTCAGGACTTCCTTATATTTATTACGACGATTCTTGACATAATTAATATCACTACGTTTTGGACTAGAGAATTACTTTTGTCAACTATATTCCTATTTGTTATACTTGTTCCTTATAAAGTTTGTGTAGTGACTAATTAGGGCTTTCAGCTATACTGATCAAATCAATCAATGAGCTAATACAATCTTATCAATGAACAAGCAATCAATTAAGAGATTAAGAAAAAGCATGAAATAACGAAAAGAAAATTGACACAAGGGATTTATAGTGGTTCGGCTAAGGTAACCTACATCCACTCTTCAAGGCACACTATAGGGTATTTTATTACTCAAGGAAACCAAGATTATAGAGAGTATACAACCAGGAAAAACAAGAAAGAACACACCCGAAATATCCCTCTGAAAACTCTGCTTTCTTCAGCACAATAGATCTGATTTTATACAGACCAGGACTCCATTGATCATCCTCCAGCTGTCCAGTATAATCAGCAGTTTGTTAGAGAAGAGAAGTAGTAGAATCTTCTGTCGCTAGGGCTGAGAAGGAACCAGAGAGAGCGTGAGGTGAGCTGTGCATTCTGTTGAAACAGAATGGAATTCGGGTGCCAGATAAGGCACTTAAGTCTGATAGCTGAAACGTTGCCTTATTGGTTTAATGTTGAAGCTGATTTCTTTGACTGATGCTGACTCCACTGTGGCATACACAAGCCACATCATCATCACAATTCTCCACCTTGGCTTGTGAATTGACACCCTAAGTGGCCTTGGCAAAACTGAATTATGCTTGAACATGTAATAGGCTCATACAGAGCCTATGTTTATCTGCAGTAACTGGTTTGGTGAGCATGTCTGCAGGGTTGTGAGTGCCCCTTATCTTCTCAAACTTGACTTCTCCTTTTTCAATCAATTCTCTGATGAAATGCATTCTAACATCTATATGTTT